CGCATAGAGACGGACTTCTATTGCTTTCCTCGGCCGAATATAAACAGAAATTTATCGCGGCTCCCTGGAAATGCGATGGCGAAAATATTCCATTAAATCTTAGTAGAAAAAAACAACAGAAGAGAGATCTTGTTCGCGAGACAGAAGCCAGGATCATTCCCCCTTTAAGTTTAATCACTGGAAATACCTCCAGCGTGCTTTCTAGAACTGCAAAAATAATTTAAAAATTACGGAGAAGAGATTTTTAAGAACTCGCTCCATAAGGATTAGTCCATGTCCTACACCTCGGATGAAAGCCGATGCATTATTTTTGAGCACACCTTGTTTATAGTAGATGGCAGTTTAAACGTTAGAATTGTCCGAAATAGGTAGATCTCTATGTAATGTGCGCAAGGGGTTTAGGGGGTCGCTTTAATGCAGGATTAAGCCCTAAGCAAGTCTTACTGGACTTTACTCTTTCTGCATTTTCTTTCACGAATTCTTCTTATTTTGTAATTATCTCGGACCCCCCCAGCACGCAGTGGGAGGGAGAGAGTTAAGATGTCCTGCGAACCCTGCTCGTAAAGCTGCTTAGTTCCATTAGAAACACATGAATATCCTGAAATACAAAGTGTCTTTAAACGAACTCAGGAATGTTTATCTCAATAGTTGATGCTTTAGAAATTATGGAAGAAAGAGGCCGTGCCACTACTGCTCCGATTTAACCTCCTGGCAGGTAAATTTCATTCGCTCATGAAAATCAAATTCGATTAAGGATCTTGCTCCTACTATCACTTTACCTACGTGTTTTCCAAGACTTCTGCGCTGTGAAGGAAGGACATTATTAGTATCTGAGTAACTAAGATCACCCTCTAGCCCCTCTATTATCAACTAAGATCTTTTAGAGGCTTTAGAGAGATTTAACTGTATTTTCAGAAGGGAATTCTGCTTATTATTTTTCTCTTCACGTTCCTTAACTAACTATAAGCAATGAAGGGGATAATAAGAGTGGATTTCCTTTCATTAGCCCTAAGTTTTCATCTGTATTCGTACGATTTTGATTATCCTGCCAGAAATTAAAGTTCCTCTCAGCAGAGCATTGTTGCGGCAGCACTCTTAAGGGGACACGTGTGTTATCACACAAAGGCTTGTTTTAAAGAAGCCTTATAGATATTTTGTGTCGAAAAAAAAATCATCTTTTTTTTCCCAAAACATGTAATTCCTCTGAAAGTACTTTCTGTTTCTCTAAGAAGAGGGAAGTTTAAAGGCCCCTTTAGAAAAATGAGTGGCCATATTCCCATCATATGGGAAGATTTACAAATCGTTTGTATATATTGGTTTAAGGCCAAAATCCTGCAGTCCTCACTGTGGCAAGACTATCGTTGGCTTCATGGCGCCGTTAACACACAATGTCTTGGTTCAAGGTTTTTATAAGGGCCAAATTCTGCCTGTGGCTACACCTGCAAGGCGGGCAAAGTGTAGCCAAAGGGAGAATATGGCACTGTAGGGTGTTCTGGGTATGCGAAATTGTAGTGGCTGTGGACTGCGAGGAGCTATCAAAATCGGTGAGAATTTGCCTGGCGCTGGAAGAATTCGGCACCTTCTACAATTATCCTACTGATAGTAGTTCTTCACCCTCCTGCCCCCTCATAAATTAATAGTCGTTTTAGAGGAAACGATTTCACTGGTGAAACTCTTCTTTGCCCTACCAGGATAAATGCAAAGTGTGTTTGCAACAAGTTTGCATCCAACCAACTGAAAAAAAAATGTCGACGTTTTATTACAAGCTGATATTTGGGATAGCCTAAATTTACTGATCAATAAGAAGGGGAAACTAAAATGGAAGAAGCTTTTGATTGGTCTTTTGGTTCCATAAATGGAAGTAATCAGTTATCAAATTAAATTTACCAAATTAGCCGTTTGTAAAGAATAGCCAAATCCAATCAGTGGATTCAAATAAACTCTTGTTTAGTTTGGATTATTTTAGCGAGTTTGGAATGGGAAAAAATAGAATCTCTCTAATAAATGTGAAAAAATATTGTATATTCAAGGCCAAGCGGGAAGAATGGCTCAAACATATTTTTATCCCCGGTGTTGATTACAGGGTCCATGATTTTCGAATAACATCTGTCCTGCTCAATGCCTTCAGCCCTCACGGTTCCTTCCCAATACCAAAAGGCAGATAGCCATTAAGGCAGGCAGGAATTACAGCCCCATAGCTGGAGAGTGAAAACTGGCTATGGAGGAAAATTTTTAAAAAAATAAATCTCCCTTCTTAGTGTCAGTAACTTATAGAAGGTCGGTCTTCGCAAATTTAGGACAGCAAAACAAGGGCATAATAACTGCATCCGATAATAACTTTTTTTCTCTCCCTCGCTCTTTAAGGGAATGAATATGCCCCATGCAGATGTCATTTTCACTATTTTGAGTAAATGCTGCAATTACTCGACTCCCACCCACGTCACGGCAAACAAGGGAAGGGGACAGTTGTATCACATCTCTTATCAGCTGCCAAAGGCTTGGTCCTCCTTCCTAATGACAAATACAACTCTAGAGTGGCAGAGATATATAGAGGAGAACAAAAATGGAAAATAATAACAAAAAGAGAGACCTTTTTAATCTAATCTCTCCTCTCCCCTTTGGACACAGAGCTGGAGCACTTCCAAGTGGGTAAACAAAACAAAAAAACAGCCACCAAGACGCAGCAGACCGGATGCCCCCCTCCTCCGCTCCCCCCTCGCACCGGGTCTCGGAGCTACATTTGCGCGGAGCTTCTCCCTCCCCATGGAAAGGGGATGGAAAAGGGAGGCAGATAAACGAGCCCGCTCCGCGGCCAGCACAGAGGAGAGTTTGGGCCGGGGGGAGGGCTGGGGGGAGGCCAAGGTCGCATGGCAGATCACTGGTCTCACGACGACCCGTTTTTAACAAATCAGACGGGTCTTGGGGCTGCGAATGACAGTTCTCACATTGGCTAGACGGCAACTTTCAACTTGACCTTGGCCTCTAGCCGTGTCTAACCCGCATGTAAAACAGCGCTGCCCCATAGAGCTGCCTTCCCTTCCCTCCTTCTCTCCTTCCCCCCCTCCCGCCCCTCTGCAAGGCTTTTTTTTTTTTTTAAGCAGAGGAAAACAAACCGACCCAAATCATGGCAGTCAAGCAATGTTTGACCGGGGGAATCCACAGGTTTCAAAACTGGAGCCTGAAAGAAAAGGGAAAATATGCGGGGAATAAATATTTGCTTTTGGCCATCGGGAAGAATGCGGAAAAGAGTAAGCAAAGTCAAAATGGAAACCGTTTATTGGCTACAATTAGGGAGAGAAGAAACAAAAGTTACTAAAATATTGTTGAATTACTCGAGGAACGAGAACGGCTTCACTTATCCCAATCAATAGCACTTAAAAATCACCTTGAAAAATGCACGGGCGCCCAAGGGCCACTTCCCATGGCTGGCAGATGTTCTGCGGGCCACGGACAAGGAAAAGCCCGCCCGTGACAAAGTACGTCCCGGGACAGCTCTGCGCTGGTAGCAACGCGGGCAAAACAATGCGACCACGTCAATGGGAAGCACAATAGTATAATAAATACGCTGAGCTGTCAGGCACGAAACAAAGCAACAGGCAAGAGCAAAAAAATAGCATTAATAAGAAAGATTAGTTTTCAGTATGGGAGAATTTGGGATATTTTGGCCGCGCGCATTAAGACTGGGAGCTGGTAAGGATGAGGAGACTGCAGCTTTAGGTCAAGTTTATGGATAGCTCGGTGAGAGCGCCGTTTGGGTTCAAGGTTGCGTGCAAGTGATTGAATACTGGGGGGGAAACGCATCCGCGCCCATGGAAAAGGCGGCGATTTTTTTTCTCCCTTTAAAAATTCCTTTTATTTTAACGGAAAAGAAAATGCGTTTTTTTGGTTCTCTTTCACATAGAACTGCGACCGCTAAAAACAATTTGTTAACAAGAAAAAAGAGTAAAGTTACATCCTTTTTTTAGCCTCAAATACATCTTTCCCAGCATAAAAGAGCATCGCGGGTCCATACACACACTGCACAACCCAACGTGATATTTTACAGCCAAAGAAGATTCAAGCCGAATTGTAGGCCCCGGTTTTTATTATTACTGTAACAAATAATGCAGCGGAGTTACGATGGAGCTCGAGTTAACCCTCCCGTTCCCCGAGGCCTGGAAGAGCTAGTTTTCCAGCCACGCTTTTTATCTGACTTCTGCGGCTTTGTGGCAAGAGATTAGACCTTTGGCTTTCGATGGGCAGTGAGAATAAATAAATAAATAAATAAATAAATAAATAAATAAATTTAAAGGAAGAAATAAAGGAAGTAAGTACCCCTGGAGCCCTCGGTTCCAAACCCTTATCTGGTCCGGCGTGCGGGCCTGGGAAGCGTTTCCGCCACGGTCTGCGGCAAGGCCGGGCTAGCAGCATCCCTGCGTGCCGGGCACCTGGACGGGGCGCCGCCAGCTCTATGGACCGGGCTGCAGTCCGCAGGGAAGGAGCGAGGGAGGAAAGGAGGCGGCTTAGTCCAGCCGAGGGGTCTCGGGTGCCCGCAGCGCTAGCCGGGGCGGAGAGGGCCAAAGTGAAGGCGAGCAAAGGGGCAAAGGGCCCCTCCACCGGGAGGGGGGGACGATATGCTGGGGCGGGGGGGGCACGCATCGGGCAAAGCAACAACAGGGCTAAAAAAAAAAAAAAAAAAAAAAAAAAGAGAGAGAGAGAGAGTGAGAGAGCCTGAAACCTAGTTGAAAAGCTACAGTAACTGACACAATAGAAATAGGATAAGCAGATAGACATTTTATTTGAAACATGGTAGTGCAAGCTTTCTTCCTTCCATGATATATATGAACATCAGATGTTTATCAGCTGCTTTGCATATCACGTGGGGGCGCGCGGCCCAATGAGGGCGCGCCTGGCGCGACACTGGCGCGTCAGCCGCGGTCAAGTCCCGGAGATTGAGTATCTCTTTTTTCAGTCTTTGGGGCTTTTAAAAAAGAGCCACTAGTCTCAATGCGGATCGGGCTATGACAGCCTCCGTGCTCCTCCACCCCCGCTGGATCGAGCCCGTCATGTTCCTCTACGACAACAGCCTGGATGAGATCAATAATAACATGGACGGGTTTCACGCGGGCAGCAACTTCGCGGCGGCGG